TGTGCTCTGGACTCCTTCCAGGTGTTGTTGCTCTTGCTGTCATTTTAGCTTCATTACACCTATCTGTGTGTCGGAAGCGGGAAGGAGGAAGCTCAATGAACACTGTGGCTTACCTAAAATTTGTCCCTCGACTTTTCCTCTTCACCAAACCCCAGAGCCACTGGCAGAATATTCAGTTCCTTGGTACCCGCCACGCTCGGGTTACTTCCTTTTGCAAGCAGCCTGATCTGTAGAGATGAAGGGATGGCTAGTGCTCCTTATGAAAGGAGATAGGGGAGCTTAGTGAGCAGTTGCAGGGTCCTGAAGCCTGTCACACGCTAGCATCCACCAGGTGGAGAGGCTGCGCATGACCGCAGAGGGCGGGCGCGCTGCCAGGGCGCTCTTGCGCCTACTGCGGAACGCAGGCCTGCGTGAAGGTAAATGCAAATCAGCCCCGCCCAGCGCTCCCCGCGGGAGAGTTTTCAGTATGCGCGCCTGGTTTTCTCCACCTTCAGCCAGAATGCTGATTTTATTTTTGTGTTTTATGAGCTGGAGAGAGGGAATTCATTTCCTTGGTATAATATGGCCCTCTGGAGAGTCTTGTCCAAATACATTTTGCTCTCAAATGCCGTCCTAGAAGAAGGTCTATACTGAAATGAAACAGAGATGATTAAACTCTGATTTATAGATAAGGTGATTTGGTAGGTTTATGCCAAATTATCACATCCAGAGAAGGTGAAAGGGAATGAAAGCGCTCCTCTCGAGAGCTGGAAACCGTTGTAAAAAGAAATATTTATGGCGCACATACCTTTAACCCAGCCAAGTTATATTTTATTGTATTCACCAGTGTTTCCCTTTTCATTTTCTCACCAGACTGTACAAGCCCAGAAAGCAAGAACTGGGTTCATGGCATCTTGATATCCCCATATAGGGACGTTTTGGAGATTTTATTTTTAAGAAAGAGATTTCACGCCGAAGAGGTTTTTAAATCTGTTAACAGACTGGACCAGCTTTCTCCTCCCCATTGGCAGGTTAGTGATCCCTCCATGCCAACCCGGTTTTCAGAGACACCAAGGCCAGGTAACAACCAACCCTTTGTACCCTAAACCTTGCAAAAAGCACAGGGTCCAGAATTATGCTTCTTTCAGGTTCGAAGTGGCACAATAAAACTAATAACAATAAACGTTTAGTTATTGGATCAGTTGCTTTTTACTTTACAATAAGCTTTTACTTATTGGATCAGGTACCTTTTAAAGCAATTTCTGAACATTATTTCATTTAATCCTCACAACCACACTATGAGGTAGGTACTATCATTTCATTTAAAGGATGAGAAAACTGAGGCTCAAAGATGTTAAATAACTTGTTCAAGATCACAGCTAGTCAGTGGAGATAGCTGCCATTCACTGAATGCTTCCTGTGGGCCAGGCACAGTGACAATCACATTGAACTAATTATTTATTTCATTTAATAGTGCCCTTGATCCTTAAGAAGTGACCTCCAGTGCTTAGAATTCCAAGCATTTGGTCCTTTGGGGATGAAAATCATGGGAAGGCAGGGGCTTATTCACCCCTGTATCCAGAAAGTTGAGGATGGTGCCAGGAACAGAGATGGTGCCAGGAACAGAGATGGTGCCAGGCACTCCAAAAATGCTGAATGAAAAGACAGTAGAGGTGCTTTCCTGTGGGATCCTCCACCTCTCCCCACCTTCAGGTGAGTCCTGCTGATGGTCAGGCTGCCCTTGGAACAGGGACTTTGGCCACTGTTTCCTTACCTGTAATAATGGGATGAGACTTCCTCCTGCACAGAGTTGTTAGGGACCCAGTGAGACAACTTCTATGGCTGCATTTGGCCCTTAGTTTTTTCACTTTCTTCTTGAACATGGGAGTGGGGAGACAAACTCTTAAGGGTATGACTCTTGAAGAATTTTTCAGAGGGAGGCCTGCAGGTTGATGTCCTCACATGTCTTACACCTCACAGAGGTCAGCAAAGCAGGGTATCACCAAAGCCCCATCTGGTGTCATTGGAAATCAGGTGCTCCATGTCTTCACCAGGCTCATGCCAGCAGTGAGGGGCAGAACCAGGTTTTCTGACACCAAACCCCAGTTTCTTCCTGCACTGACCTGGGTCCTTTTTCTGATTTGGTCAGCTGCATCTCATAGATGGGGGTCTGATGTTTAGGAGAGTGTCTTTACTTTTTGGTTGAATCATTTTCTACTTTAAAAATAACTATGGGGGTAATATTTAATGGGTACAGAGTCTCAGCTAGGGAAGATTAAATAGTTCTAATGACGGGTGGTGGTGATGATTGCACAACAGTATGAATGTATGTAATGCTTCTGAACTGTATGCCTAAAAATGGTTAAAATGCTACATTTTATGTTATGAATATTTCACCAAAATAAAAAAAAAATAAAGTCTGTCTTTCTCACATGTCAAGAAATCTGGGGTAGGTAGATATGGGGGTTGGTTCAGCTGCTCCCTGATGTCATGAGGGTCTGGAGTCTTTTTTTACTCTTTTTGTTTTGTTTTGTTTTGTTTTTGAGATGGAGTCTCACTCTGTCACTCAGCCTGGAGTGCAATTGTGTGATCTTGGCTCACTGCAACCTCCACCTCCTGGGTTCAAGTGATTCTCCTGCCTCAGCCTCCCGAGTAGCTGAGATTACAGCAGTGTCCCACCAAGCCCAGCTAATTTTTGTATTTTTTTTTTTTTTTTTTTTTTTTTTGCCAGAGACGGGGTTTTACCGTGTTAGCCAGGCTGGTCTTAAACTCCTGCCCTCAGGTGATCTGCCCATCTCAGTCCTCCAAAGTGCTGGGATTACAGGCGTGAGACACTGCACCTGGCCTGGAGTCTTTCTAGCTTGAGTTTTTGCATGATGACTTTCATGCTGGGTGCAAGGTGTCCTCCGAAGCATCTCAAGATTTTTTCTGCTTAAGAGAGGAAGAAGGAGGGAAGGGGTGATGCCAACCATGCCTCTGTCTTTCATCAGAAAAGACAAAGCTTGTCAGCAACCCTCCCAGCAGAATTTTCTTACATCTCATTGGCAAGAACTGGGTGTTTTGGCTGTGCTGGGCAGCAAAAGCAGCTGAAAAAGTTTTCGCTTAAATTCCCAACATTTAGCGCTGAAGAGGGCATTGGGGGAGAAAACAGTTGGGAATGAGTATTGATTGGAAAACCAGCAGGCTGTGTCTAACGCCTGCTCAAGGCTACATGGTTATGTAACAGGTCTGGTTGGGCCTAGAGTCTGCTCCTCTGACTCCCAATCTTGAGATCTTTGGCTTAGACATTTAATACATTTTGTAGTCGTTAGATGTACAATAAAAAGGAGAGTCCTGGAGAATATTTTTAAAGAAGAAAAGCTTTGTGTTGCATGCACTGAAATTAATCGAGTGCTAAGAGATCATGTTGGAAAAGCACTGGGCAGGGTGGGAGCCAGAACATCTGAGCTCTGCCCCAGGCTGGCCAGAAATCTGGGGAAATGTCCCCAGTTCCCAGAGCTTATGAAATGTGATTATTATTATTTTGAGACGGAGTCTCGCTTTGTCACCCAGGCTGAAGTACAGTGGCACAATCTCTGCTCATGGCAACTTGCACCTCCTGGGTTCAAGTGATTTTCTTGCCTCAGCCTCCTGAGTAGCTGGGACTACAGGTGCCCTTCACCATGCCAGGCTAATTTTTGTATTTTTAGTAGAAATGGGGTTTTACCATGTTGGTCAGGCTGGTCTTGAACTGCTGACCTCAGGCGATCCGCCTGCCTCGGCCTCCCAAAGTGCTGGGATTACAGGTGTGAGCCACTGTGCCTGGCCCCGAAATGTGATTATTTATTTATTTTTAAAAATCTGGTTAGTATTCTTCATTAAATGTCCATTAAGTACTTTGATAACTCTAGATGAAAGACCCTATAGGGGGACAAACACTTGTTATTAACAACCATGTGCTGTCAAGTGTAGGCTTATAACACAGGACCATATGCTTCAAAGGTTGGAGTAGAATGATGGAAGTGATCCACCATTTCTCCAGGCCAGGAGCAGAGTGGCATAAGGCTCCAGGGGATGCCTGAAATCGGGAAAGCAAACAAACATCCCTATTATAATTACCCTGCCATGGCAAGGAAGCCTGAATGTGCACACTAGGATTTTGGGGATAGCAGGAAATTTGACTGCATCCCCTTGGATCCCATCATTTTCTTGTTCCATGGGAAGCACCAAGGGTGCTGGCACCCCCTCTTCTCTGATGGGTCTTCCTGGATGGTTCTGGGTTACACAGATCCTTCTCTTTCATTCTCACCCCAGGATACCATATATCCTGGACATTTTAGCATTTAATGGTATTGAAGTTAACTTTTCATCCTTGTCTTATAAGCAGTGTCAGGAGTGGGCACTGTTTGGGAGATGCAATGCAAGGCTTTTTGAAACTTCCCAACCCCAAGGGCTAGCAGAGGTCCATATATATTGCAAACCCTCAGTAAATACTAGAGCTGGACCTAAGAGCTGAGATGTCCGTGGCTGTACCAGGTTAGAGTTTCATTTTATGATTCTGGGGAAACTAGTAGTCGATTTCAGGACAGAGGGTGGAAGAAGTGAGAGCATCCACCTGTAAAGAAGGCACAATGCAGTTTGGTGCCCTTACAAAGGATCCTTCTGGTCAGATTATAGGGACATCCCCTGAGCTCAGAAAGACACTGACTTTGGAAATACTATATGGGGAAAGAGCAACTCTGCAAAATTTAGAATGGGATCACTCCAAGAAGGGCAATTCTTAAATGATAGGGGAAAAAATGCACCCGTAGTAGACTTGCAAGCAGAATACACAAATCAGCTGAGAAAGCCCAAATTAAGATTACAAAGAAGAGTTTTTACTAGTTCAGCCTCAGAATGCAAAAATAAATAAATAAATAAACAGAAAACAGACATAATCACTTTACAGAAAGCACATACATTACTTAAAAGAGCAACTTCATGGAGTAATACTTCCTGGTCATAACTGCATATCAGCTTCGCTCATACTAATGAGAAAGGGATTTATGTCCTTAGCCATAACTGCTTGTCCTCTCTCTTGAATCTTAAAATCATTTTGCCTTCCAGACGCTTATGGTGTTTTTGTGTCATCCTCGTGTGTATTGTAGAGAGGTGGAGGTAAGGACTGCCATTGAAGCTAAAGCTGAGTTTTAATTTCAATCTTTTTTTTTTTTTTTTTAAACTGGGTCTCATTCTGTCACATAGGCTGGAGTGCAGTGACACACTCAGGGCTCATCATAGCCTTGACCTCCTGAGCTCAAGTGATCCTCCTGCCTCATCCTCCTGAATAGCTGGGACCACAAGCATGAGCCACCATGCCTGGATAACTTTTAATTTTTTTGTAGATACGGGGGTCTTGCTATGTTTCCCAGCCTGGTCAATCATTTTCTTTTTTTTTTTTAGCCATTTCAAAATTTGGGCATCCAAAGATTCAACTTGCTTAGAAGTGCAAGTGGCCCTAAATTGCTTTATCACCACCACCTCCAGGAAGTCTTCACAGACATGAGAACTAGCATCCTAGCATCTTCTTCTCCAGGATCTTCTCAACAGGTTTGCATCGTCAGGTTTCTATTTATGTATCTCTTGTGTTCCCATCCATCACTAATATCTGATGGCACTGGTATCAGGACACTGTGTTCTTCCTGATTGTCATAAAACAGATGTACTTGCAGCCTTGCTTGAAAAGTTGTCAATATAAATAAAATTAAATTCACATTTTGCATAATAGGACTGACCCTGATGGATCAGGTCGTGAGACTATGAAACATTCAATACGTCCTGGCACACAAATGTTAAATCACAGTAACAGATTAATAAATACATAAATTACTTAAATATTTAAATAGCACGAAGGTCCATGACAACTTGAGAGCTGGAAAATCTATACATAAATTAGCTGATTGTTTCAATGAGTATTTAGCATCTAGTTATACAAATACAGCAAAGATATCATTGTGACCCTAAAAAAATTTTTTTAAGCAAATCAGATAGAAAATATCTTTTTGGGTCAATTCTATTCTGTCTTTAAACATATTGCTTAATATCTTCCAGTTTTCCTTCAAATTTTCATCCTGGGATTGGAACCTGGAAAAGAATGCCAAAAATCTATATGGGGTGGACATTGCAACAGCAAACTCTTCTTATTTCTCTTAACACATTATCTTGGGCAATTGGGTTTTGGGGATTTCATGCCAGAAGGCCCAGGTCTTCCTTATGTGACCTGGAATTTGGCTGGTACCATGCATGTTTGCCAGAGGCTTTCTTGAGAGTTTTCTTAAAAGAATATCTGATTGTATTAATTCCTTGCTGAAAACCCAGTGGGTTTCAGGGCCCAGGGCCCTCAGAACAAGGTTCTTAGTCATGCAAGCTTGCAAGTCCTCCATGCTCTGCCTCCTGGCTACCTCTCTCTCTTCTTTGCCTTCCTCTTTAGGAAGGCAGAACCCAGGTCTGTTTTCTTTCCTGCAGTATCCCCGTGGCCAGCACAGTGTCCTACATAACACAGGCACCAAATAAATATCTGTTAGTGAATAAATATATGTTTCTGATTCTGGCAACTGGGTGCCGGCCACCCCAATCCCCTTTCCTCTCCAGCACAGACCCCAATCATATCCCTGCACCCAGGTGCACTGAGCGTGGAGGTCTGGGCTGGGCTTTGAGGGCCTGCTTACCTAACTGCAGGGCACAGATGCCCATTCGCTCCAAGATGAGCTATAGTAGCGGTCCTGGGCCTGCACACTAACGCTGGCATTTTTGCGGCAGATGACCGTGGCTGAGGTCTTGTCCACGCAGACTCTATCTTTCTGCAAAAGAGAAGGAAAGCTGTGAAGACCCCTTAGCAACACAGTCACAAGGTAAGCCAAGCCTATTTCTGCAATGCGTAATCTTCCAAAACAAGCCCATCTTGGTCTTAGGGCACTATGCTTGCAATTCACAGGGGAGTGTGCAGAACTTGCACCACCTACTGGCAGACACTCCAAATAGATGTGCAGCTTTTGTACTTTGTAAGCCCTTGAGGGAGAAATCATTTGGCCCAGCTTTCATCTTTCTAGCACAGTTGCCTTACCTGCCTCAAGTACCCATGGCCAGTCACCCAGTCCTGAGCTGATGGTGAGAGAGAGACAGATTTGCTCCAGCTGTCCCTGAGATATTCAGAAATACCATATCCTGAACCTTTCATCAGAAAACTTGCCTTCAGTTCCTGGCACTGCTACTTAATAGCTGTGTAACTTCAGGAAAATGTCTCAGGTTCTCTGTGTCTGTTTCCTCACTTATACGTAGGGATAACAATAATGCCTACTTCACAGAATTGTAGAAGTTGAAGGTAAAAATCATGTCAAACTCTTAGCAAGTCGTTAGCATATAGGAAGCACTCAATATCACCTATTAATCATACAGATCTTAAATAAGGAAAGTGCTTGTCAAGATGTAAAATAAAATTTAGGTAAATATCTATTCCAGAATAGCCTCCCCACCTAATTTTTTTTTCCCAGAGAGTAACTAACTCACTGAACTTCTACCATATGCTAAATGCTATGCTGAGTTAAGGCTTTGCCAGTGATTTTAAAAGTCGGGTCAAAGGAGACAAAGGAATGTGTGCAATAGGGCCTCTAGAACCTTGCAATAGGCAAAATAATTCCTTGATGGCAATTGTTCCCAACCAATCTTTCCTTAGCATTTGAAAAGGGACTTCTTTCTTAGAATATAAACCCCACCAAAATAGACACCCATTTTGGAAGGCAAGGAACTTGGAAAGCCATTGCCTTAGTCTCTATAAGTGTAGACATCCTGTTTAATAAAATAATTTTAATATCTGGAACAGCCAGGAGCTACCCATTTTTTGGGCAATATCTCTTGCATGTTCTATCATTTGTTACATGCACTCAGTTGAAACAATTTTAGGTTTCTTGAGCCCAGGTTTCCTGTATCAGGATGAATTCGGAATGCCAAGATCAATGACCTACCAGACCAGAGGTGGTAGGGTGGTTAGGTGCATGGGCTAACTATCCAGCAGGTGGAGTTTGTATCCTGGTTTTGTCATTTCCTAGCTGGGTGACCTTGGGAAAGTCACTTAACCTCCCTGAGTCTGCAATCACTTGTGAAATGATGATAATACTACTGGCTACCCACCATCCTTTTCTTGGGGCTAGGCTACTGCCCAGTGAGCACATAGTGATGGCAGAGCTGCTGGCACCGACACAAAATTCCTGCATCAGCTGCAGCTGTGCTTTACCTTGGCACAGTTTCTGGAAAAAAGGAAAACCTCTTTTCCACAAAAAAGGGAGTTAAAAAAAAACCAGAATAATACCAGCTGCCTTTGTTGAGTTAATTTTGTAGGTTAAGTGAAATAAACATGGGAAACCCTTGGCATAGTTCCAGACAAAGTGCTAAAAAAAGTAGTTATGCATCACATAATAACATTTCAGTCAAAGAAGGATCACATATATGACCAGTGGCCCTCTATTGTTATAATATTATATTTTTGCTCTATCTTTTCTGTTTAGATATACAAACTATTATGCTGTAATTGTCTACAGCATTCAGTACAAGAGCATGCCATACAGATTTGCAGCCTAGGAGCAATAGTCTATACCATAAAGCCTAGATGTGTAGTAGGCTATATACCATCTAGGTTTGTGTAGGTACATCTTATATGTTTGCACAGTGATGGAACTGCATAACGACACATTTCTCAGAATTTTAAGTGATACATGGATGTAGTTGTTATTATTATCATTCATCTTCTCACTTTATGGCGGGCGTCCATAAACCTGACCAAGGAATATACTGCCCCTGAATCACTTCTTACCTTTTCTCTCTTGCTCTTGCCCTGGACCTGAACGCAGAATGTCAGGGAGAAGTAAGAATGTGGAGTACTCCACGTGTCAGGGTACTCCCAGCTGACCTCCACCTGCCGAGAATTCTTTAATGGCTTCAGCTGCAAGTTCTTGGGTGGGTCAGGTTTGACTGTGGAAGAGGATAAACACCCTTTATTCTCCGAATAAGACTTTGGAGTTCATTGGTTTTGGCTTCTGATCCCACTCGCACCTTTGACCAGCTGTGAGTCCACTGGATAGTTAGTTAACTTCTGTGAGCACCTGGCTGGCAAATGTGAGGCACCTCTGCTGCAGGTGCTCACGCGGGTGCTTCGGGAAGGCCGCTGTTATCAATGGTCACATCTCAGATCCACATGTATTGCAGGATCTGAGAGATGCTCAGAATCCTCATCACTGAAAAGTCAGATGGGACAACCTCTGCTTTAATGGTTATGAGCCATGGATTGAAGGACCACCCTCTCTGTGCTGAATCCCTCACTTTGCACCGAACATGGAACTGAGCTAAGCCTCTCCCTGAGGATGAGATAATAGATTTTCTATTCACTGCCCTTTCTTTTGTCTTTCATAGCTTTTGGTGCTGACATGTCTTGGAGCAGTTATAGTCAATTGTCTCTGTGCTCAATTTGCTTGTTTATTCCGTAAATACTGAGCACCCATTATGTTCCGGCCACTGGACTATGCCTGAAGGATACAGCAGTGAGTTTCACAAAGACTCCTTCCTCAATTAGGTTTTCTAGGTAAGGGGAGGGGGAGACATGCTACGGGGTGTGGTTGGGCTCTGCAGGCCTGGCACTGCTCCATGCAAAGATCACGGTTCCTAGCAGGTGCTTCACAAATATGCTTTCCTCTGTTATTAACACAACTGACATCTTTCCTTTTGGTGTCAGCTAAATGTCACCTCCTCAGAGAGGCCTTCCTTGGCTACCCTATGTGAACTAGACCCCATCCACCAAGTACAAACCCTCCATGAGTTTGAAGCTGGTTTTATTACACTTTATCATGCTGCCTGGTTAATGAATAAATAGCAAAGGAAATGACCTATGGTGAAATCCCTATCTGCCAATTAAAAAAAAATGGATGTCCATTTTGGAGGGGTTTATATTCTGAGAAAGAAGTCCCTTTTCAAATGCTAAGGAAAGATTTGTGGGGAATAATTGCCATTAGTAGGGAAGCCCTGGTTCTAAATATGAATATTATGCTTGATGGGCTCTGGGATTCATCATGGAAACTGTCTGGCAGGTGAATAGTAGTGCAGCGAAGAGCCTGCCTTTTCTAGTGGAGCAGATCTGGATTTGAACTGTTAGCTCTAAGATCTGAGATCTGGATTATTATTACCAAAATACAGTAAACATGTGCATCTTAACTTTTATAAGACCCAATTTCCTCTTCCTTAAAATGCACATAATAGTATCTACATCATATTTTTTTTTTGATGCAGAATAAAAGAGATAATGCTTGTCAACCACCTACCCCAGTGCATGGGGCATTGTGAACATGGGACAAATGGTATCTTTCTTTATGGAGCACATATAATCATCCAACACTCACTGATGTCCCTGATGAAGAAGCTGCTGGTGTAGTTTTCATACTTGAGCTTGTGAACGGCATCCACCATGACCTCAATTGGCAGCCTCTCCTCAGCGGCTGGGCAGGCACTGTCCTCCTGACACTCCACCGAGTACTCATACTCCTTGCTGTCCCCTCTGACCCTCTCTGCAGAGAGCATAGGTGCTCCGCACATCACCCCTCGGGGGTCAGAAAAGCTGAAGTCAAAGACAGAAATTAGCCTGTGTTACACACTGGGGAGAGATTTCCTAGTGGGTTTTGCCACTGAGGCAGGTAAGGCCTCAGCTGTCTGTCTGAGGACACACTTTCTCCAACTGGGCTGATTTCTACCCAGAAGGCAAGAAACCACCCTCCCCAGGAGAAAGAACTTAGCTTCAAGAGCACTTATATGTTTCTGGACTAAATGAATATGGAAGTTTTTTTTTGTTTGTTTTTTGTTTTAAAAAGACCTAGCGTCCCTGATTATTAAACCCCCTTGCTAAAAACTTAAAACTTATTTTTTAAATAATTTTAATTATAAAATCAATACACACTAATTATAAAGGTAAAAATGATAAAGATGCATATAAAGGAAAGAAGTGTATGTCTACTTCATCCTTAACTGTTCTCCCCAGTTAAGGATGGGGAGGTTGTTGTATCTTTCCAGGCCTTCCTTTTTCTTTTTCTTTCTCTCTCACTCTTGTTTTTTTAGGAGACAGGATCTTGCTCTGTCACCCAGGCTGGAATGAAGTGGTGGGATCAGACTTCACTGTACCCTCAAACTCCTAGGCTCAAGTGATCCCCTCCCTCTGCCTCCCAAGTAGCTGGGACTACAGGTGTGTGCCTCTACACCCACCAAATTTTTTTATTTTTAATGTTTGTTGAGATGTGGTCTCACTATGTTGCCTAGGCTGGTCTTGAACTCCTGGTCTGAAGCAATAATTCTGCCTCGGCCTCCCAAAAAGCTGAGATTACAGGTGTGAGCCACTTTGCCTGACCAGAACTTTTTCAATGAATATTCAAGATAATCATATATCCATTTTATATATACAATATGCATTGTATATATTATTATCCATATTATATATCTCCACATTACATATATATATCTACTATATATTTTACCTATAAATATACTATAGATTTTATTTTTATGAACTAAGATCAAATTGTATACATATGATTATGTAACCATCTTTTTCCCCTCTGAACATATTATGGGGAGCTCTCCGTGGCAAAACATATAGGTTGGGTTATACATTTCATTGACTGCACATTAAGCCAGAGTGGCGTGTACCATGTTTTATTTAACCATTCCTCTGCTGATTACCAAAATAATCACAGTGAACATGTGCATCTATGTCTTTACGAACTTGGAGAAACATTTCTTTAGTAAGCATTTTCCTTTTAAGGATGAGAAAGTGAGACCTCAGTGCTTAATTTACTCAGTGAAATAATGGTAAAGCCAGGATGCCTGGGGTTTGCTCCATTATGCCACATTGCTCAGGAACTTAGGTGATGATTAAAGTATGTCACATGGGGGTTAACACATAGGTCTTGTATTTATGGAACTGCTTTCTTAGGGAAAGTCCAAGTGCATGGGACCAACCCGGAACTTCAGATTAGTGGTGTCAGCAGAAATAAAAGGAGTTGAGGTGGCCCTGGGAAAATTTTGGGAGGCCTCATAGAGTGTTGGAGTCTACTTTAGGGATTCTAAGATCGATGTTCTGGAGCTCTTGTTTTTATTTTTGACTCAAGATGCAATTTCAGCAAGTCATTTGTAACTTTGAATTTTCCTTTTATCCCTTTCTCTGGGGCTATGAGCCTTCAGGAAGCATGGCCAGGCAATTTGGATGAGTGGGTTCAAACACAGTGAAACTATTCTCAGCTTCCAGTAACCTCCTGCCCTAACACATATATTTATTCAAATGATTGGCCTAAATCTCCATGTTCTTTCTTCAATGTAGACAAGAAAGGGTGGTTGAAAAAATATGGGTTTAACTTTGCTTTTCCCCTTATCATTAACCGATAGGTCACTGAGAGGTTGCCCTTAATTTCTTAATGAAATAGTTCTAGCAAAATTCTGAGAAACCAAAGCAGTTTCACTCACCCTCTGCTGCTTTTGACACTGAATGTCAAATCAGTACTGATTGTCGTCAGCCACCAGCAGGTGAAACGTCCAGAATAATTCTTGGCCTCGCATCTTAGAAAGGTCTTATTTTTGGGTTCTGGATTTGAACAAAAATTCAATATTTCGAGTTTTTTCAGAAAGCTTTTGATAGTGATGAATCACAGGTTGCCAGATGGTACAGGGTGAAAGTCTTCCATGTGTTCCCTGTTGGGTAGCTCCATAAGGATTGGGAGGGTCCCAGTAGGATGCTGATTCTGCAGAGCACACTACACACCTAACACACCCCGATAGAGGCATTCATTTTTTCAAGGTTATCACCTCAGTGCAGAGTGATGCACTATTGGTTAATTTCCATTAGCCATTAAATAGTATTTAAAGAAAACATCAGGCTAAGCATTCAGACTGACCATGAAACTCTCCTAATACAAGATTTTGATGGTTGATCACCCAAAGGGTCCAGGAAAGCAAAGGAAAATGGAGGTTGTGGTGGTTTCAATAAGAGACTTGGTGTTAACTCATTAACTACAGTTATCATCACTTGCCTTTCCAATATGTTTTTTTTTTCTTTAACTCTTATGAACAAAAGAGAAAATTGATACTATCTGAGGGCATAGAATTACCTTTCTGGTCCTTTAAAATATCAGTGGACCAAACTCCATCTTCCTTTTTGTGAAGCAGCAGAAGCAAATGGTTCAGAGCCTTGCCTCCTTTGTGACAGGTGTACTGGCCAGCATCTCCAAACTCTTTGACTTGGATGATCAGGTTTTTGCCAGAGCCTAAGACCTCACTGCTCTCGTCCAAGGTCCAGGTGATACCATCTTCTTCAGGGGTGTCACAGGTGAGAACCACCATTTCTCCAGGGGCATCCAGGTACCAATCCAATTCTATGACATAAACTGGAATGTACAGAAAGTAGAGAATCAGGCTGTAAGCTCCAGGAACTCTGGGACTGTGTTTTATTAACCCTTTGGGCATTCCCACTGTCTAAACACAACCTTGTTCATAATAAGTGTTTGGCAAATGTTTGCTGAGATGATCTCAGGGCATTAGACCCTGCTTGGGCTCAAGGTCATGGAAAAGAGAAACAAAGCCATCAATTCATTGACTGGAAGGCCACCTTTAATAACCTTTGATTATTTAGCAGATGGAAACATCTTAACAACAAAAACTGCAAACAGCACAAGACTCTTTGCCAAAGGTCTGGGGAAGAGAAACTTTGAGCACAATTTCAGTTTCATAGAGAAAACGGCAGGGTACAATATTTAGCAGAATAACTTAGTGGTTAAAAGTGCAGGGTGTCGAGAATGACTAACCAGGACTGAAATCCAGTCTCCACTGGGGGATTTGGAACAAGGTACTTAATTATAGTGAGCCTCAGCTTCCTCATCTGTAAAATTATAATAATAACAGTATCTGCCATACGTTTGATGGAGGATTAAAAAGTATGTAAGTACTTTTTAAGATGAAAAAAAGTATGTAAAGTACTTAGCACAGTGTCTGCTAATTCTATGTTAATTATTATGATTTATAGACCAAAGAGTCAGTCAACTGTATAGAGAAACTCTCCTAACAATTTTCCATGGATATTTAAGGATTTAGTTCCCTTTGTTTCAAATTACCAATAGAAATGTTCATTCTCTCTGTATTTTCTTTTTTACCTGTCATATACTCTTAGGAAGCAGTCAAATAGATGTTAATCTTCCCATTTTATGAAGGAGGGTACTGAGGCCAAGGGTCTAAACATGGTCACATCAAGTCAGAAGTGCAAGAGCTACAGCTCAGACCTTCTGTCTCTTGGGCTTTGCAAGGGATGCCTAATCCCAGTGTCTAAACTGGCCTTTGAAGAATGGCTTAGTATAGTATTTCAGAGTGTCATAGCAAAGCTTCATTCATTTTTTTATCCATGCATAAATTATTAGTTGAACAGAATTGCTTAATGTAGTAGTTCCCAAAGCATGATCAATGAAACACCATCAGCAGTATCACCTGGGGATTGGTCAGAAATGCAGATTCTCAGCTGCTGAATCAGAAACCTTGTGGTGGGTTTAGTAGTATGGTTTTTAAGCTCTCCAGATGGTTTTGATGCCTGCTCACGTTTATGAGCCACAGTGGTTAAGAACCTGGATTTTGGAGTGGCAGAGGTCTGGATTTAGAATCAGCTCTAGCCCTTACCCCAGTCTTGTGACCTTTGGCAAGACATTCAGCTACTCTAAGCCTCAGTGTCATCGTCTTTAAAATGAAGAAACCTATTAGCCCTTGCTTTAGAAGGTCAGTATGTGGATTACATAAGCTCATTCACATAAGAGCTTAACACAGTGCCCTTACATGCTTTGTAAATGGTGGTTCTTGTTTTTGGCCTCTGGATGTAAAGCATCGTAGAATATAGTTTTCACTTTACATCAGTTGGATTATAAGGACTGAATGGGTAACAAAAATAAGAGGTCAAAAGCGTTTGAGGTCCAATTCTGGGGAAATGATTAGCTGTGCTGACATAAAACCATGTGGCACCTTTGGCTTTTTCTAGTTTTTCTTGTCCCCCTGACACCTGAGCAGCATAGTTACTTTCCTGTCCCAGCTGAGACTCGGAAGCCCTGGAAGATGTTTGCTCAACAGCAGGGAAAACAGCTGTAGGAGGAAGGCCGAAGAGGAGTGTCAGGAACCTGGTGCTTAGGCTCCCTGCATTGTCTGCCCTCCTAAGTCACACCTTGGAGCATTTCTCACATTGATTTTCTGGAATTTCTGTGGCTTACCAAATCAGAAATCACTAAGGGGTTAAATATGCCAGGGCCAAGGTTCCTGAGCTCACCAAAAATCCCAGGGTTGGAAGGGACCTGGCATATTTCCCTGGCTCACACCTTTGCTTTTACTTAAGAGAGTGTTGAAACCTCTCAAACCCTCATGGAGAAGGGGTGGCTGGATTATTCTCTTCCCAAAATTCTTGAGAAGAGAGGAGTGGTCCCAAATTTCTTTCAGGTACCCATTTCAAGATTGTACTCTCCAGAATATCAAGACTATTTCTGATCATCAGCTGAAATATTTTCATCCTTAATTTATGCCCATTTCCTCTTATTCAGCTCTACAAAGATCCAGGAAAAAAATTCCTTCATGTCCCTGTAAAAACTTTTTCACAAACTTAAGTGCACCAGCTTTGAAATGAGACAGAATTGGGATCAAGTCCCTGTTCCACCCTTACCAGGTATGTGACATTGGGCAAGTTACTTAATCTCTCTAGCCTCAGTTTCTAACATCTGTAAAACGGGATAAAGATGGTCTCTACTTCATATGGTTCTTGTGAGAATTAAGTGAGATACTGCACTTAATAAACATTATTATTATTATACAACTAAAGACAGTATTTGCAAACATTATGATGTTGGCTTCAGTGAGAAACATCTGAGGGTCTTTCAGGTGCAGCCAACAATCAGAATGCACATTTACTGAGTGTGAGATACTAGAAGGATAGACAGAACCCCTTATTTTACCGTTAACTATTCTATAAGTCTAATAATTTTTATTGATCATTGGGGTGATAAATAGTATCTCTGGAATCATGAGAGATATTATTTTAAACAACAAAAATAGTAATGCTAGCTGATATTTACTTTCACTTTACTATCTGTTGAGTTGTATTCTGCATTCGTTAACTCATTAAATAACCCATGTGGTAGGTGTCTACTTTGTAATAGCCAGTTTACAGTTGAGGAAATTCAGGATCAGAGGTGGCCTAGCTCAAAGTCACATAACCAGTAATTGACAGACCTAGGATTTGAACCCAAGTCGATGTGAGTCTGAATCCTGTGCTTTCTCCAAAGTGACTGGTCAGAGGTAAGTCATCACAGTGCCAACTGAGGGAGCAGTATCATGTGGTAGAATGAGAAATGAACACAGTTGTTCTACTTTGCAGATCCTCCACTTTTGAATTTTAATTGTGTGAAACAGCTGGTTTTTAGTAATACTGGAAAATTTCATATCTCTTTTCCCATCATGGTGTACCAATGGCATCCAAGGTGAAAACCAAGCAATATAGATACTATTAAAGTAGAAGGAGATATGGCATTGCGTTTTCCCAGAGTGATGGCTTTCTCTAGGAGGACCCAGTGCATGGTTGCCCATTTCAGTTTGATTTCCCACCAGTGGCTTCCCAAGAGTCCTAGCTTAGAAGTGGGGCCTCCATAGAGAAGAATGAAAGGCTGGTTACCATCTTTCTTCAGTTCCCATATGGCCACGAGGGGAGATGCTAGCAAAACCAGGGAAAACCAAGAGATGACCAACCGCTGGTGGCACATCTGTAAGAAGGGAGAGAAGCAGGGGGAAGAGACGGGGAAAGAGAAGGAAGTAGAAGGAAAAAGAGAAGAAAAAATTTTAATAATTCTTGTTAGCTTTGTGAACCATATACACATATTAGCTATTTTTTTTTTAAATAAAATCTTGATTCTCCCCTTTCTTCTCCATACTGTCAAGCAAATACTAAGCAAATCACAGGAGTTCTATGACAGTCTCTCAGGAAGAACGTCTCCAAATAGAGAACCACAGGCTATCTGGGGCTCTGAAGCTGGAAGAGACCTAAGGCAAACTGTCTGATACAATCCTCTTATTTTTAAGATGAGAAACCTAAAGCTTAGAGAAGGAATGTGACTTTCTGGATCAACATCTAGCAGTTGTTTACTTAGTGCTTACTGCATAAAGAACATTGGGCTAGAAGCAGTTGAGACAGAGAAAAAGGGGCCTACCTGGATCCTGCTTCCCAGGAGCAAATACTTTTACTCAATGAATATTTATGAAGTCAGTGTGTTAAATGCCTCCCCTCCAGCTGGGGAAATAAGCCACATATCTGTATCACTACAGCACAAGGCAGTGTGTGCTGGGATACCCAGAGCTGAAGGACTTGGGTTAGGGATAGGAAAGGTGATACAGAGGTGAACTTTCAAGGTCTGGCAACAACCTGGTCACCAGCCCTTGCTGTAAGTGTTCAGCTTCTCTTGATTAGATGACAGTTTTTCTAAGTTTAAAGAGTACTCTCTCCCACATAGAGAGCCTAGTGGTTCTAAAATTTGAGTGACTGTCAGGATAGCCTGGAAGCATTGCTACAACAGACGGCTGAGTCTCGCCCCCAGAAAGACTGATTCAGCAGGGCTGAGGGCCTGACAATAGGCATTTCTAGAAAGTTTCCAGGTGAAGCAGATGCTGCTGGTATTGGGACCACACCTTGAGAACCAGTGGTTTACCCTATGTTCAGGGTCTAGAACCCCTGAAAATCAAGGTGCTCATTGGAAAAAGACCATAATATATTGATATATCCACCATGAAATAATGAAATGCATAATTTTGTGCTAAATCAGCCACCATCTGATATAGAAACCATTCTGGGTTATTATCCAGGGTTTGTGAAAATCTTCAGATTGCAAAAATTACATGCCACTTACGAACGAGGTAGAGATGATTATTGAAACATTCTGAAACAGCTCCATTTACTTGCAGAACACCCATAATCTGGAGGATAACATGGATTCCGAAACCACTGTTTTAAATTTTATGAAGGGCAATGCTCAACTGTTTCAGTCAAATACCTTAAAAGTGAGCATTCCTGGGTTGGGTGACTGAACATTGACAAATCACAGCTTTGTCAGAACTGCTGCTAACCCTAGGGGGACCTTGCTGTGTACCTCATTCCCTTATAAATTTGTGAGTGGCAGAAACAGGACTAGAAGTCAAGCCTTCTTGCACACTGCTCAGTGCTGTCACCGCAGCATGGGGTTTTAGGAGCATGGCTATCTTTTGAGTCTAGGTTATGACTGTGGCAAAGTACTAGCTGGCACAGAGTACTGGTTAGTACAGTCACAGGCTTGAAGTTAAACAGACATAGCTTGGATTTTGGTCCTACCACTCATTTGCTGTGTAATGTTGCCCAAGTCACTCTCTGAGCCTCAGTCTCTTCACCTATAAAATGGATGTAATACTTATCTCAAAGGTTTGTTGGGAAAGGCAATAAGATAACATTATAGAAGGCAACCAATAACATATTAGCTTGAACCTAAAGAAAGAGGTAAGGAAACAATTTTATATCTCTGTTTTATGTGCCATGGATAGTCAAAAAGTCATTCCAGGCTGTAGGAAAATGCCCACAGAGGTACTATAATTACATGGGCCTGTAAAACCCAGAGGCTGGCACACTGGAAGGGAAACAGTAGAGATTCCTGGCATCTCCTGGTGATTCCTTTACGCCCACTTATGCTAGGGTTTTCCCACAGGCTGTGCCCAGCATTTCCTCTGTGTGTCTCAGATGATTTGACAATCTCAGGTGAACTGCACTTCAGGGTCAAGGAAACCCTGGCCATGGTTCTAAGAAACAACTCTCACTTTAGTATCACCTACATTTGAGACCGCAAAGCGCTGTCCAGGAGAGGAGATAGTGGTGGGTCACCTCCTTTGGCTCTCTGGCCGATCAGCTGATTCTAGGGAACTCTAGCCCTCAGCCCACATTTCCTCGGCATGGTAAGTTTGAGAGTCTTGAGGATTAAAACAAATTTTTGTGTATGCAGTTTCATAAGTTTTTCTAAACTCTTGAAACTGTTGCATGAAGACAAAGGGACCCCACGTTAGGTTCTCCTACTTGCTGGGGTAAGCTAAGGGCTTCCCAACACTGGTGCCAACATCAGCATGCCAATGACACTTGGGTGAGCATCTCTTTTTCAAATTTTATTTTGTTTGTTACTTTTAATTAGAAAAGGGAGTTATTATTAAAGAATAAAAAAATATAGTCACTGATGCCATGGGTGGCATATGCAAACAGCCCCAGTTTGAGGGCCAGGGCCGACTTCTAGAACTGTCATCCCAGATATTTCATTAATTAGCTGTGTGACCCTGGGTAAGTCACTTGGCCTCTTTAAGCCTCACACTCTTGATCTGTAAAATGGGCATGCTCCTGTTGTAAGGAGTTAGTGACATAATTCACGTAAAGTATCATGGTGCCTGGATGAAGTCAGGACCCACTATTTGCTCCCCTCCTTTCATAGCATGACTACAGTGGCAACACTGCAGTTACTTCTTTACTGTTTGTCTTCTCCACCACACTGAGTGAACTCTCTCATGCCACGGATCATGTTTATCTTGTCTCGAACTTTATCCCCAGAGTCCAGCACAGAGGGATTCCATGACTTAACAGTAGATTGAGGAAACAAACAAATCATACAATTTCAGATTCCAGTAAAATTAACTCTAAGAGGTTACCCACATTCCATCTGGTATCCTGAAATTCCTTGTTTTGAAAAGTGGGTCATCACCTGGGGTTTAGTAATCCCTTTGTTAAAATGACATTTAACCTGGCCATGTTGTTGCACACAATTTTACCTGGGCAAGTATCAGATACCAGTACAGTAAAGGTTATCTTTTTTTCCCCTTCTCACAGATTTAAAAACTCTTCAGGAAGTAGTAAGAGCTTTTCATTTTCTAAATGGGCCAAAGTTAATCCACAAGAATGGGGAGCACAGTTATCAATTTGTTTTATATCACAACTGACAACCAAGCCCATCACAAATACGGGAGCAAGTCTGATTTGTAACGTTATAAGGTATAATTGTGAATTCAATTACTTTAAAGAATATATGAAAGGCTTTTTTTTTAAAAAAAGTTTCAATAGTAAGGCAGGCATCACTCACTTTAGCTCTGTACAATCCTTTAACTGATGGGAATTAATATTTAGGAATATACTTGTATACATCATTACATACCATTTCAAAATAAGATAAACCTTTCCATAAAATATGCATATGCTCACAAATCTTGCTATACAATTATTATTAGTTGGCTTTTAAAATGAACACCGTACATCAGTCCCCAAAGTACTCAGTTTTCACTAGAATTCCAGCAGGTGACTCACCAGGGGTGCTTCCAATAATCCACCAACTCCATGCTGCCAGGTGCAAGGGTAGCACACTAATGGTTTCTACACCTGGACAGCTGCAGGCCCACCGGGAGGGATGGGAGGCAGGGGCTTGGGAAGAACTTACCTTGCTCTGGGTAGGATGCAGACTCCAACGGCCCTGAAATAGATGTGGTTTCTTCTGCTGCTGTTGCTTCTACTGGAGCTTATATACCCTGCTCCCTCCAAGCTTTCGGATGGAAACTGACTTGCCAAATTGCAACATTGAACACAACTCTCAAAACCTTTTGGGAAAATTTCAAGAAGTTCCTTTTTTCTCTCTCTCTCTGTGCATTAATAACGATGAGGGAAAGTAGACATCAAAACTAAGTAGAGAACTAAGAGGAAATGACTTTTGGGCGGGGGAAAAGGGAAGGAGATGGGGATACTCATTTGGGTTTACATCATGGCCAAGGTGCTTAGAGACAGCACTAGGCAGCCTGCCTGGGTTCCACAGATCAGGGAAGAAGGAAGGTCAATGAGGAGTCAGACAGGAGGAGGTGTTCATGTCAGGATGGAGCAACTGTATGCCCCAGGGCTTAAAAGCAAAATCCTGGTTCTTCCCAAGTCAGAGGGGACGAGATGAAGGGCAAAGGGTTTAATACATCTGGAGCACCTTTCTTCACATTCCTTTAATTTCAGAAACATATTATTTACCACCCATCTTGGCTCCATGCACCTCTTCCCCCATTCCCCGAGTGTGCACTCATACGCGCGCACATACACATACCCATGCACATTCATACAAACACAACCCTGGGGAGATGATAAAACTGCATGTACCTCTAATAACACTCAAATATGTACGGAGACACATCCTGTGCTCATAGGGGCAGATGAGAGCAGAAAGTAAGATATCCTCAGGGAGATACACAGACAACCACACTCAAGGCACACCCCCTTGGGAACCTAGACTACATCTTCATTTCATTTGCACACCAATCTATGGCCCTAGGAGCTCCGCGCAGATGCACAGGATTAGCGGAATAAATCTCTCCTGGAGGAAGCACACGCAGACAGATGCGGGCCGTCCCCAGAGCCGCCGGCAGAGGGCGCTGCGAGGCGGTGCGCGCGCCCCGGAACCCACGCGCGCGCGTCCGCTTTTCCGTCCAAGCTCTCTACTCCGGCCCCGTCGGCGGGGTGCGTTCCTGAGGCTGGAACGGGGACCAGGCGGGTTTCAGGCGGGGGTAGATTTCTGGGCTAACTTTCCTCGCCTAGCGGGGGAGGGGAAATGGGAAACCCGGGCGAGAGCCCCGAAGCTTCCCAGCTGCACACTTCCTCCCTCCAGAGCGCTGGCCGCCAAGCCGGCAGTCCCACTGGTTATCCGACCTTGTGCTCTGGCGGCGGGGAGGACGGAGACCTTACCTCCAGCTCAGAGAGCCCCCTCCCATCCCCTGTGTCCTCTAGGCCTCCCCAGACTTTGCCTCTTAGACTTCCAGTGAAACAGGTTCTGTAACCAAGATATACTATTTTAGGAGGACAAAGCAGGTTGCAGGGTATGTTGGTTGTAGGATACCTTTTGTGGGATGTGTGTGTGCGTGTGTGTGGGTGTGAGTGCACCTGAACTTTTCACAGCTGGTATCTCAGGCATATGTAACAACTGGAGGCGGGGCTTTTTGTAAACATGTATTAATTTCCTCCAAACAATCACTGAAGTGTACTGAACAGAAAACGTTATGTGAAATTGACGTGAAGTAGTTTCACTAATTTATTTACAGTGGCTGCACCACTACAGATGAGTCCTAGTGCCACCCCAATAAATAAATACATGTATAAAATAAGACAAGTTTCAAAACGACACAAATATTTTATTCATGTGTTCATTAAACATCTTCAGTGTTCACTTCCTCCAGGGACAAGTGGTAGGGATTTAAGAGCAAGGGCTCTGGAGTTAGGGAGCTGGATACCTGCACCTGCAAGTTACTTACCTTCAGTAAGCCTCAGTTCCTCACATCTTTAAAATGGAGTTAATAATAGTACTCGATCATAGGACTGGTGTGAAGATCAATGAGATATGATGGGATGCAGTTTGAGCAGCATTCTGGCTAAATGTTTAATGAATGTCTGCTTATACTTATTTATTTTTTATCCTGTCATGTCCCAGAAGGTCTGTTGGTAGCTTACAAGGGGACATCAAAGATGGCAAAAAGGAGTGGAAGAAGACGGAGAGAATAATGTGAGGAGCCGGGAACAGGGCTCTAAATTGTCCTTCAATGAAATCACTTGGCTATAGCTGAGCCACGAATTCGACTCTGAGCATCTAGGATGAGAAAGAGGAACTGGCGCCTGCCCGTCTCTGCCCCATGGGACTGACTATTTTGGTAAGTCCGGTTCACCCACAGAGGAAGCAGTTCTCGTACTTTATCTGCATATAATAACAAAATTCAGGTTCTTGGGGCTGAAGCTCAGAAATTGTGATTCAGATCTGGAATCGGGCTTGGAACCTGCATTTTAACAATGGAGGTTCTAATGTGGTCACTGGCAGGTTGTTCTAATGTGGGGACCACAGCCCATTCTCTGAGGCAGGCTGTACACTTGTGCTTCATTGCCTGGAGATACATCCTGTGCTTCACTCATCTCTGGACACCCCACATGGCCAGCCAGCATTCTGCTAATACCAGCCAAATGCCCACTGACCTGATTTTGGAGAAGAGGTTTATCAGCATGTTCCACTTCACAATCCAGACCCTGACCCCAGGCAAACTGAACCAATACCCATAGCTTTCTATGGCTCACCCTGTGAGAGAGGAAGGTCTGCTGACAAACAGAGGACATGCTGAACTGCAAGGTTAATGTGACTGATAATTAAGCTGTGAGATGGAGGCAACCCCCTAAAAACCAAAAATAACCTAAAGATTTTTTTTGGCCACAAAAACATATTTTCTCCTGGAAGGATGCTTTGACCATCTAGTATACATTTCAAATAAAGGGGAAGCCATGTGTACTTATAAAAATTAAAATGTTTAGAAAATGACATAAGCAATACATGCTATTGTAAAAACTTCAAACAATACACATGTACATAGAATACAATGTTGAAAGCCTGATTCCTGTGGCTTCCAGAGTAACCATTGCCAACATTCCTGCAGCGCTTCTCAGTGCTTCTCTATGTATTTACATCTGTCTAGCTACATAAATGAGATCTGCTACACATATTATTCTGCAAATTGCTCTTTTCCTGCAACTGTCCATTTTGTATTCAGCCACTTGCAGTCACTTGGCTAGAGGTCACATGAACAGATTTCACATCTGCATCAATTAGGTTGCCCTGGGCTTAGTTTTCCAAGGACCTCTGGAGTTCCAGGCATCAATCCACTAAGGATTGACTCCCGAGAGGGTCAGTTGCTTTTGAAGGGACACTTCTAGCCTAGGGGCAAAGGAAGTAGCTTCTACCTCTCGCCTCAGAGATAAATGCTTTTACCGAAAAAAGAGTGAAAGTGTTACAGTAGGTGGCTAGTCAGACAGGAGCAGGGCAGAAGAGGGTCCCCCCATCCCTGCCCATCACCACCAGGAATGTCAGACAACCATCAGGTGAGGGTCAGATGATTATTAAACTGTCTCTCTAAAATAATAATTGGTCACTGCTGGTACAAGGAAAAGGCATTAGATAAAATTAGATTAAAAACACCTGAAGCTGGTGATCAGCAGCTTCCCAATAAGATCTCAGGAGTTGGGCGAGTGGGCTCAAGCTCGCACACTAGGAGGCCAAATGGTCGAATTTAACTGGTGTATGAGCTTCTTCTAAGTTGAATACTTGACTGGTAAGGGAAGAGCGCCTCAAGTGTGCATGCATGCAATTTCAGTAAACATACTGCATATGTGGTCCCTCCCAAGTGCTGGCAGGCCACCCCAAGGGAAGAATCAGGGGAGAAGGGAGGCAAACCCCAAGAAGCACGCCAGCATATGCAACCCTAAATGAAAGGTTAAACCACACACTTGAATCTCTCAAATCGCCCTCCCTCTTCCAAGTATACTTCCTTTTGTTCCTGCTCTAAAACTTTCTAAATAAACTTTCATTCCTGCTCTAAAACTTGCCTGGGTCTCTCACTCTATCTTAAGCCTTTTGTTCAAATTCTTTCTTCCGGGTAATAGGACAGGAGGCAGAGAAATTCTAGGCAGAAAAGGGTGGGGGTCTTTAGCAAAGCCCCACCCCTCAAGTCTGGTGCCATGGGCCAAAGTGAGTAGCACATTCTTTTCCCACTCCAATGTTGCCTTTTCCCAAACCACCTGTGGCCTGCCCTGCTACCCCCATCCTGTATCCATAAAAACCCTAGGCCCCCCTGGCAGAGAGTAGAAAAGGAGAGGAGAGGAGAAGCAGCTGAATGTTGTAGAGAAGCAGTTTGACTTCAGAGGGATGACTTGATGCAGGACTTCAGGGGAAGAATACCTTCCTGGTCCCTCCCCTTTCCGACTCCCCTTCCTGCAGAGAGCCACTGCCCGCAGCAATAAAATCCTTCACATTCACCACCCTTCAATTCGTTCATGTGACCTGATTTTTCCTGGACACGGAACGACAGCTCAGGTGCCACAGGTGAGGACGCTAAAGGCTGTCACACTGACCCTCTGGCGAAAAGGTGGAGGGTTCACTGAGTTGTTAAACACTTAAGCCATCTGTGGACAGCAAAGCTAAGGGTGCACTGTAACACATCCCCTGGTGTTCCAGGGGTCATGGGTACTCCACCCTAGATGCTGCTGCAGGGGCCCCGCACAGAGCCTTGGTTCTGCCAGTGCCCAAAAGCGCTTGCTTTGGCTCCTGCACCTGCTCACCTGTGTGCTCCCCCTCCCATGAGGGGTTGAGAGCTGTTGCCTGAGTAAATGAGGCACCCCTGTCATGAGGCCTGTGAAGGGGTCAAGGAAAGCTTCACATTTCATGAGGAGGCAAGAATTGAGGTTCACCAACACTAATGTACTTGGGTGCTATGTGATTTTGGTGCCGCGCGACTTGGATACGTTCCCTAGTGGTAACAAAAGGTTCTAGAGCTCAAAATTTAACAGTGTATATATATGAGTGGTATGATGGTGAATGACTTTTGTTTTCTTTTTTATGGTCTCTTAAATTTTCCAGAATGTCTACAATGACCTCATATTTCTTTTCTAATCAGAAAAAAAAAAAAAGGTTACTGA